GACAGCCCCGGTCCAACCGCCCAGTGCTCGGATCAAAACATTGCCAACAGCAGGGCAGAGGGACGTGCGTGGCATTCTCTCTGACCTCCAGTCTTTGAGACACCTCATTTGCAGCTCAGTTGTCATGTGCAAATCCCTCCAGATAGATAATGTCACAGTATACTCAGCAACCTGCCATGTTATTATGACAGGTCTGTTTGCAGAGAGAGATTGGATGTGATTTGGAAGGACGGTGCACCGACTCTTTGATGATCTACATCCACGTGGTAATAATAGTAAGAGAGTATATTTGTAGGCTGTGCAGGGACTTATGAAAGACAAGACAAAGTCAATGGAAACTCTCAGGATTTGTGGATTTCCTCACTCCCTAAACGTTGGCTGTTGTGTTGCACCACTGACTAATAAGGGCCTTGTGACTCATTCTGTGAGCTTTGTCTCTGTTGAGTTAAAGTTAAAGAAGCACTCCAATGATTTTACATGTCAAAGTCAATTGTGTAGTCTTGGTTAGTACTACCCAGCCTGGGAAAACAGTTGTAATAATTTCCCATGTGGTCCTGGAGGCACTTTGTCAAGTCTGACAAAATTACTCCAGTTTCATCACTTGGTTTTTCAGCTTGGATACATTTGTTTTAAGCAGAAAGTTTGTATTACAAATGTGGGCATTTGCCAGGCAGGGACAGTCAAATAATAGACACTTTTGTGTCACGCGACGGAAAGTGTGGGATCCAGTGTTTTTGAAGCTTGACCCATATAATTGGCTAAAAGTCTGGAGGTCTCGGCCTCTGCTGCACTAATTTCACAATTTATGGCCATGCTAGCAGGATGGAGTGGCAATGCTGGTCTGTCTGACCACCACTTTGGTCCAAACTGAAACATTTCAACTAAGACACGAAGTAACAAAAACTGCAGTTCCTTAAACAGCCATTTGAAGCTGGTTCCAGAAGGGAGTGATCGCCATAAGGCCCCATGTTAAAATGTCCAACTTTACAGCAGAAATAAGCATGTTTATGTTTAAACATGTTTATTTTATGTTAACCTGGTACAAAAAAACGTTTTTGGTCTATGTAGCTAAATAATAATGTTCATGACAACTGTACATTTTTAATTATAGGTATAGTAGGTTGACATATTTGGCTTTTAGTGACATATTGACAGTACTGGTAGATTTTACATTACATACACACAGTGAAAACATTTCATTTGAAAGTTAGGCAGCACTGATGTTTGGAATACATTACAATTCACAGAGCAGGATGTTATGATAAATTTGTACTCAGCAGACTTGATGGACACAAACATACATTTGATGGCTATATACATATGGTAATTTCAAAGCCTGCAATTTGTTGTGTGTTTGTACATAAGTAGTCAATATGTTACCCATACAGTATCTGGCCAGAGATAGTGTATGTGCACAACACCGTACACACAGAAATAACAACGTTTTTTTAACATGATGCTTCATCATCTCCCCTGAAAGCAATGAGTTTCCATTTGGTTGATCTGGGTTCCACTAATCAACCACCATTCCCTTGCTTATTTTAAAAGCAGGCTGCACTCAGTAACTAATATGCAAGAAGATTAAATAAAATCTAATTCCAGAGGAACATGGCAGTCTGCTCTCTCCTTGTAGAGGTCCAGTTGTGGCTTTGGTTTGGGATCAGATGTGTTCTCTGTGGCTCAGATCAGATGACTAACAGGATTTAAATGTATCATCTGAAGGAACAGAGAGAGTGTGCGGGTGTGCGTGCGTGTGTGTGTGTGGTTTGTAGCTGATGTTCAGTGTCTTATCTCATATGGCAACCTAATGAATGTATTGTAGACATTTCAGCACGTACACATCTGTGTTTGTTTTACAGTATGTATTTTATTAGCGTGTGTTTTCACAGTGTCTCAGCAACTCCTGATGTTCCCATAGTGCTGTATTCTTGTGCATAAATCCTTAATACAACTCAGGCCCTGACAGAAGGGATGTTGGCTGTGCAATCTTGCTCATAATTAATCGACACACAGAGCTTAAACACTCTGCATCTAAAGGATTTCTTGACCTCCTCCATACGCCTTGATTGACCCCCTTAAAAGAGTACATTAATGACAGATGCATTCTTGATTGATTGCTTTGATGCAACTTTCGAATAAAGTGTTCAGAGACCACGCAGCTTAATTAACTTCCACTCGGTAGCTGGCGTCTTATTTGAGGTATTTGACATTTATGAGCACGCACACGGCTTGTTTTACATCAAGAAACTTGACAGCCACAGCAGAGGTATTGTCGTATTTTGGGTGTGAAATAAAAACAGATTGCCATAGGTAGTAGCCTTAATTTGTTCGAGATGGACAATCCTTGATTTACATATTCATCACCTTCAAGGCCCCCTGGCTCCATGTCTAACTTCAGGCTTTAAATCTTCATTAAAAAAGACCTGAGTGCCACTGCAAGATGCTGAAAAGTGACAAAGGAACACTGTTCACACACAGTTAGAGAAACCCTTTTCCAGTGTGCCATGTTTCACTGTGTTACATCAACCCTAATCTAGAGTGACAGTTGTTGATGACCTACGCTACACGCAACAGCAGTGTATCAATTATACAGCGTGAAATTGTAACTGTCTGATTTCTGGTTGAACTTTTGCAGCTTCATGCCTGTTTGCACTCGAACAATGTTAAGCCCACCACAAGGCAGTGTGGGCACTCGAGCTGCTGTAGGTGGTTATAGGGAGAGATGGAGAATGCCGCTTGCAGGCTCTGGAATCTCATTAAGCATATTGTGTTGCCAGAATCAAAGCAGAGGTGTACTTGGCAACAGCTAACCGCTACAACTAAGGAAGTCAGGAAATCTCTGTGGCTTAGTAACACCCGACATTGCAGAAAGAGCTTGTCAATGGGATTTCGGGAGGATATTCTGCAGCTTGTCACTGTGACAGAGGCGGAAATCACATGACACAACTAAAATTGTTTGTCAAAGAGAGCAAATTGTCTTTTCAACCTGTTCAGTTTATTCTTGTAGTTTACAATCGCAAGAAAGGGATCAATCAGTCCTATTTGGGACAATTTGTACCCATAATTCTTTCTTTTGTCTTACCCCTAGGGTATCATAGCTTTATAGGCCTTTGAATCACTGCCAACATCTGAGATTCTTTTTCAGTGATTTAAAAAGGTCTGGTTTTGTGCTCAGGTGGAGAAACTACCGAGCCATTAAAGAGGCCTTTCCAAAAAGGAAAGTTGATTTAAAGGAAATGACAAGTCTTAAATGGGGATATTTCTTTAATAAACAATGACAACATTTATTTAACTGGCCCTAGGGACTTCTACTGCAGCTCCTGCAGCAACTTAAAATGGTGTTGATGCAACAGATTATGTATCAGTGAGTAGTAATTGAACATGGACATGCTGCCAAACTCAGTAATGAAGTGGAAACAAAATGGCAATCCAGTTTTTCAGGATGATATCATACAGATTTTACATGCTTTTACTTTGGGTTTTGGGATATCCATCGCTACAATTTCTTCCTCTATCCCAGACTAACAGTTTACTCAACTATTAGGGGGCAGCCCTAATCAACATCCACCACCACATATGTTATGTGAATCAGGACAGACATGGATGTGAACAGTAACTTGACTGGTTAGCGAGACATACAACAACAGGGTGGTCATTTAAGTGTAAAATGGCCCCCTCAGTGATTGAGTTAGACACCCCTGCTCTAGACTAACCACACACTTTTATGTAAATAGTTTTCATTGGAGTTACTTAAACAGTCCCAATGAAAGCTAGTGACTGTTATTCCTGTGTCGTATCTGGAACACACATTTCTTCATCATCATTTCAAATATATATCTCAAACCCAGACAAATACAAATCAATTGTTTTCCATAATTTTGGTGAACGGACTCTTTAGATAAGCTGCACAACTCTGAAGGTAGGGGCAGGTTTTTAATGGAGAGAATGCAAAGGATGGTCATTTTCAGGGATCAAGCAATGTGTTTTTTCGTTACGTTAGACCGCTGTGACACAGTGCTTATTATCTGGTATCACAGTGACACTATTTAATTTGATGTCTCTTGTCCAGTGCCATAAGACCACAGGGTCTTCTCTTTCAGCCAGTTGGATGTGTGTCATTTAGTGTTTTACCCCAACCGTCTGGTTTGGCAAAGACAGACGTCTGGCAGATGCAGAGCTTAAGAAGAGCCTTGTTTCAGCAGAAAGATGTGTTGTTCAGTAAAGAGAGCCCTAATTGCATTGAGACTTCAAAATTGCTTTTGTTTATTCACCTCGACTGGCACAGCCTGGAGCCAGAACACAGTTTTTTTTTTTTTTAACCAAAATAAACATTATGAAACCTTGTTGTGTCTACCTTTTGTCTCTCTCTCTCTCTCTCTCTCTCTCTCTCTCTCTCTGCTTTTATCTTCTCCCATTAGGATGAGATGGAGCAGTGGGTTCTGGGAGGACATGTGCTCTGACATGGTCGCAGAATTTTAATGAGGAGACGTATTAATGCTGTATTATTAGACACCAGCTATTCCCTCCTTTCATAAGACTAACACAGAAACAGATTGTCAGAGAACTCCTTTGAAACCTTGTCTGAAAACATCATGGATCTGAATGTGTCTGCGTCTGACCCTGATGTCCTTATCTTTAGATTTCCCCTCAAACTGATTTACCCATCCTTTAATTCTACAGACTGATATCAAAGAATCAGAAGGGTATAATTACCAAACCGAAAGCCAAAATACTGTTTTTCTGCTCCCTGATGCACTCTAAAGTGCTCTTTGAATGTTTGATGTTTTAATTCCACTGTGGTCATGGCCAACCATGTGCTTGTGGTACCAGATGCATATCATGGCGGGCAAAAACTGGGAGAAAAAAAAATCTTGTTGTTCACTAACTTTACTTTTTTGTTCACGAACCAAACACTGCAGCTTGCAGGTTATTGTAATCTGAACAACCATCACCAATGCCTTCCTTTAACTGTCCTACTGTGCCTCCTCCTCCTCCTCTAGGTGACCTGAGAGATCCAACAGAGACAAATGTGACAACCATCAAGAAAAGGTGTCGTACGATTCAGACCCCACCCTCTTGACATGACTCAATATGTGTTTGGATACCTGACCTGACCAAACAACTGATCCTATAACTGTGAGTACCAAAACCTGTTGCACACATCCATATGCATGGCCACATGTCATGATCTCTGACATCAATACAGCAAATGCAATGAGTCTACAGTGATGTCTTCACAGGCAAAATTAACATGAGGTACAGATATCATCGTTCAAATCCCAGTCCCTACCTGATACATTACTGCTACTTTTGTGTCATTTGCTCTTAAAGAGAAACTTTTCAACCAGCTTTTTATCATTACAATGTGGGTGCTACATTATATGCAAATTAACAATGTTTAGTCTCCATGTTGCCTGCACCCAGAGCTCTCTGCACATTTGCCGGCAAAAGTCTGCAGTATGATGTGTTTAGGGCTGGTAGCTGGTGGCATTTTTTGTGTCCGCCTCCACAGACAGTTGGGGGGGCGGTGGCGGCTCCTCACTGCTCCAAAATCAGAACATCCTGTTCAAAATCAACTGGCTAGAACAACCACTGGAGGTCCTAGGCAGGCGGCTATTGAAGAAAAAGATTTTATTAGTGTAATGCTGGAATCAGACATTCTGGGCTGCAGTGTGGAGGAATTACGGGAAATTGGTGGCGGAAGAGGCCCCCAATGCTGAGAGTCAAGAATTGCCAGCCTGTGTAATATTACACCAAAGCTTTGGTCCACATGTGGAGAGTGCTTGGTTATCAATGTGTTTACATGCAGTTAACAGTTTTACAGTCAGCTTTCAGCAGTAACTGGATTTCTGAAACGGCATGTATAGCCTATAGGTTTGGTAGTAGAAGAAGTTTAGAGAAATTAGACTTCCCAATAGATTTCTCTTGGAGAACATTTCTTGCCCATGTACTGTAAACATGTTACCGGGTTTCTAATAAACTGTGCTTGACAGAGACTTTAGAAAATAACACTGTGATAGAAGTTAAAAGACGGACTAAAGCTGAAACTCAAACGAAGTAGCTGTAGGTCTAAATAACGTTCTCACAGCTGAAGTTTTGACTATTTATATTTTCGACATCTATAAAGAAAAGCTGTGGTAGAGGCCTCTCCAACATACACATACACACTGACAAAGAATCAGGAAGAAGCATCTTAAAAAATAAATAAGTAAGCCAGGTTCCAAAATAATGTCTGGGTAGGCCAGTATCTGGTTTCTGACCTGCTGCATGTGTTCATAGATTTCAAAGTAAACTGGTTACTACAGTGATGCACACATATTGTACGATTTTGAACATAACCTAGGTTACTTGTGTGCTTGTAAGCATACTGTCCAACTTTCAGCAGATAATTAGATTTCATAGGAGACGCTAATACTCATGCTCGGAACATTATCATGGCAATATGTCAACAGTCTTGAGAATTTATAGTAGCTTTAGCGGTATATCATGACTTTAGATTCTAACTCTGGTAGAAACAAGAAATGCTAGGACCCAAAACCAATCCCGGGGAGATTGGGTCTTTGTCTCCTGACCAGGTTTGACATTTGTCATCATGGGTCTGAGTTCCCACTTTCAAATAATATACCGGTCCGGTTTGGGTTTGGGTTTGACATTTCTCGCCTCTGCATGGGTCCAGGTCCCAGCTTTCAAATAATAGGTTGTTCCAGTTTGGGCAGTATATTTCTGGGTATTTTGGTTCAGGCACAGATATTTGGACCAACAAAGACCTCTACTGTAACCCTTACCATTGAAATGCACCACAGACATACAAATGAACATTTATGGCTTGTAGTTTATTTGATAGATCACTACAAAAGATCACTTGTCTTACCTTGGATAACTCTATAGTCACCTAGAATTTATAGATACAGTGTATGCTTAAATTAGCATGTAGCACTGGAGCCTATGGTTAACTGAGGATGCAGGATGAATAGTGTATTCATACTTGGCAAGAAGAGAAAAAACTTTTTATCCCCTTAAGACAAAGCATGTCAAATTTTCTTTTCATATAAATCTGACATTCTTCACCAAATCTTCTTAAAACCATTGTCACATATCTTCAGTCAGCATTTGTGCCGCCTGCACCATGATTGGATGATATCACTTCAACAAGACAAACACTGAGCAAAACCTGGAGTGTTCTGATTTACAAAGTTGGATTAGGGTCTTAAGCTATCTCCCCAAACTCTTCCTTTCTCATTCTATCATCTTCCCTTTCTCTGAGAAAATTGGCATCATTTACTGCTGCCACTGCAGAGCTCATTGTCACCCATTATCCCAGGGACAAAGCTGCCATGACATTGAGTTAATCCGTGCTTGTTTCAATTTTGCTTCCAGCGGAAGAAAACAGATAAAGAGTTCAGGTAAGTGATGGCAAGGAGGCACCATACCCCAGGCAAAATGGACTACAATGATTAGGAAGGTTGAGAGAAAGATAAAACGCAATCTGCCGGGCAAATTAGGATGATTTCCTAAAAAATGTCAGGGATTTGTTGGCCATACTTGTGAGGTTTTTGTCTCTGAGACTGATTGAACGCTCCCCTTAAGACTAAAATTGCTTGCCAGAATGTCAGGCACACATACTGTAAAAAGACGACCGCAGTAATTCTAAAAGGAACGTTTTATGAAATGTAGGGCAAGGAAACTATAGTCGACTCCCTCTTATAAATATCTTCACAGTCATTATCACAATCAGACATAAGGTACAGTAATGATGAACCACTATAGTAAGACCTCAGTCAGAAGCTCTTGGAAGTAGAGCAGTCAGTCTTCAAACTATATGTGCGGGCCTGCTCTAGTGAAAAGTGAAATGTCATCTGTAAAGCTATGTGTCTTAGATAAAGCTCACTCTAGGAGTCTAATTATAGCAAGCCCAAGCCATATGCTGCATTGTGAACCTAGACTAAGCTTACTTAATTGCATCTAAAGAATATAAAAGAGACAGGAAGTTTATCCAAATATGACTGCCAAGCCAAGCCACTTTTTCACAAGCCATTCCAAAAAGATTGTATACAATATGCTGTTTTAATTGGGGTTTTGGGTGTTGAAAATGTTGTGGTTATTTACAGGTTGTCTCTGGCTTGAAGAAGAACAGAAAGAGATGGATTCTAAAGATACATTGCCTTATAGTAAATGTTTCATAATGCATTAGGTTAGGGTCTTGATAAAGTGCAATAAGGACTGAAAACTTAAACCACATCATCTTCATTTGCATTAATAGTTAAAGGGTTGAAAGGGAAACATTTTACATGTCAGTGTCTATTTACTAGTTAATACTACTCAGTCTGTAAAATAGTTCACGTCTTCCGTGATTCTGGTATTGTTTTGTCAAGTTTGACCAAATCACTTTACAAACTGAAATTACCATTAACCAGGAAGGGCTTGTCAGACAAACGATGCTACCGAATTACAATTTGGGAAATGTAGGATCCAAATTCTGTGGAGCTTGACCAAAAGTCTAGACATTTAGGCCTTCATTGCACACATCATTTTTGCACTAAATGCCTCATAATTCAACCAGCATTTGGAGCAGTAAAATTCTGCAGAAAAATCAGTTCATTTCAGTGGAATTGTTGCAATCAGTGGATTCGATTTTGGCTGCCTAGTAATCTTTTGTTTTGTGTTCCGTTCACTTCCGTTCCATTCACCTTCCTCTTTTGGAGTTCAAACTGCTCCACAAAAGAAGTTTCAATTGTAAAAGCAAGCAAATGTGACTTACTTGTGCTAGCATGTACCCGGCTGCTAAGCATGTAATGCTAATTACAATTCACCAGCTAGCTCTGTGAGTAGTCACTACTGTCGCTGCCCAGTCCGTACATCCTGCCCGAGTGGTACAACGCATGAACTCAACAGAGATGAGAAGGAAAAAAGAGGGCTCACGCATTAGCTTCTTTCATCATCAGCTCTGGAAAAACGTGTTTTAACGTCTTCTGGATGCAGTCTTATGTGACTTATAAGTATATCTAAAAGCACGTGTGAGACATGGACCATATGTCTGACAAAAAGTTCAGTTTTCAGATAACTTTTCTTTCGTTTTGTCAAGCTATTAATGCTGCCTTAGCTAAGACTGAGAACTAAGGAATTTTTAAATAAAAAAGTAATAATGTATTGTATCGTAACCAGTTTTTCGGTCGATAATCAAAGTAGATTCTGAGTCAGCCATCTGGTTTCTCATCTCTGTTTAAATTTGCAGCAGTACCTACCAATCAAAGAGATCAGGCAGCGACAACTACATCACCAAGCTTGTAATACTTCCTATTTCATTAAGGGCCCTTGGATAACCTTTGCTGTGCCGCTTTCTTGTGTGACTGGGCCTTCATAAGCTACAATAACAGAAATGCAGCACTTGATGCAAGAATGTTGGCCAGCCTTAAATTTGATTCAAAGACTCACAGCGCTGAAGGATCAATCTGGATGTAGGAAAAATTCGCCACATGAGAGCAATGCAACAAACAAGACAAATATGTCACCTTTATTGGTCTTTAATGCAGAACCCTGTCTCCAGAAAATATCTGTACCCATCTGTTCCATCTGCTATGATGGGAACAGTGAAGTAGTAAAATGCCTCTTGATAGCATATTATTGGCAAATTAAGCAATTAACTAGAAATAGATTCATAAAGCGCTCTAAGATCACATAATGTTTGTGCTGAAAAATTAATCATGAATATTTGCAGTGCTGAGAAGACCTATCACATTTTTTGAACCTGGGAATTGCCTTTCTCCTCCATCCCATCTCAGCGGGATATGAAAAAGATGATAGCAAGTTAATATCACCATGCAATCTATTGATTGCACTTGTCAGCTTTTACAATCTGGCCTCATCTATTGGTCCGCACCCCCTCCGTCTCATTTAAGAGTTTCCCGGGAGCCGAGGTGAGCCTGTCCTCTACCTGACAAACTACTGCTTCCTCATCCATCCTGCCCCACCACCCCTCTTATAGCTGCATACGAGAGCCCTATCATGGTTCACTAATCCTCCTCATTAAGGCAGGCCCCAAGGCTCTCGTTACTGTACATCTATTCCCACATGTCTTGTACCAGGACTCATGGCTTTCATCTTTGGCAGCATGTGCAGATGTCATGAGTTTGCCATGT